TTAACCACTTCAGCATCATCTCACCATCTTCATTCGGCCGCCACAAGCATCGGCACCCCAACGGTAGTGTTTGTAGTTGTTGCCAACTGATGATGTTCTTGTCAGCACCAGGATCAACTAGACACGTCACCTGCGTGTCGGCTATAACAAAACGTCCATACAGACCTCCGCTTTCTTGTTCAGACGCGACATTGACCGCACCTGCCATTGGTTCGTTCTTCTTCGCTGCGGCCTTAGCCTTCTGCTCTTTAACCCTATCGCATGAGCCGTTGAAGTACTTGGCTAAACTCTCCAACACAGCTGGGTTCGAAGTGTCTTCTTTCAAATCCATACTAATACCTTGTGGCGTGCGTGTGACCGTAGTGTGTTGAGTAGCCAATTTTCCTTGACGTGTCACTTTGTAGCAATTCTTCTCATCATGGCCCTTCTTTTTACACACAGTACAGGACGGCTTCGTAGGACAATCTCTTGAGGTGTGTTGCGAAGACTTACACCATCTGCATTGTCTGTTGTCTATACCCTTCGGTACTTGTGTGGCGCCTCGCGGCGTCTCGAGAACTTCGTCGCCCACCTCATAAAATCGTGGTTGGATCTCACGTCTTGGTGGACAATTCGACCTTGGTACCACATTTGTTTCTGGTCACATGGGTACTACATTTGCGATCATATTCACCCTTTTAGCATTCCTTCGTTTTCTTCTTGCCAGATCGTCGTTGCACTTTAGGATGAATTGAATAAATCTATCCAAATCCCATTCACGCCAATCAGATCTCATAGCCTCAGCCTGTAACGCAGGGCATAGTTTATTCAATAGAGCTTGTTTCAGCTGATGGGAATGGAAAGCATTGGGATGCTTCCAACGTCTTCTTAACATATGGTACCGTTGTACGGTCTTCTCGAACCATATTACTAAATCTTCGGCATCTTCGCGTTCTTCAACTTCACTCAAGTCTTGCGCCACAACGTCAATCTCGTTGCTATACGGGTATAACTCTTTTGCTAGCTGATCTCTGAACGCTTGCCATTCTTTG